GAGCTGTGCCTGCGGAGCGCGGTGTTGGCTTTTCAGACCTGTTTTATCTCCAGTTCAGTGTCTTTCATGTTGTGCTGTAGCAGATTTGTCTGTGTGTGTGTGTGTGACCTTTCATTTTTTAAGGTGTGTACACAAAAAGCTGACTGCACAGTTTATATTTTTCCTCCCGTTTCCTGAGCAATCCGCGGGTATCTTTGTTCGGAAGGAGGAGGTTGTTCCTTCTGCAGCATCCGCACCTGCAAAAGTGGAATTCTTCCTGGGAATTCCGCGGGCACGCCAACCCCTCACCTTGTCCCCCCGACCTAGACTTTGCTACAGAAGGGATAAAATCTGGTTAAATAGGAACTACTGTGAGCTGGGCTTTAGTTGAGAGGAAGGTCTGAGGGCTGAGCTGATGTTGGTGCGACCAGGGGCGGGAAATGTGCTGCAATCGCCAGAGAATTTCCTACACCGAGGCTTCTTCCAGCACTAACACGGCTGGGGTGCAGCTGAGGAGCTCGCTTGTAAAAATATAATGGGAAGAACTGAGTTTCTTTGTCTGAGGACAACAGCGCTCTGTCTCAGTTTTAGGTTTAGGAATGGTTGGTTCATTTTTTCCTAAGGTAACCTTCTGTTGTTTGTTTTTTATTTTTCCCTTTAAACTTGTTTGTGTTTTTGCTCGGTGTCCTCATTCATTCTCAACCCTCATTCCAAGGTGTCTCCAAGGGTTTAGCGAACACCCCAGTGTAAACTTTGTGGCAGAGATGACCCTTCTTCTTTTATCTCCTCCTCTTCAGGTTTAAGTTGGAGCTGTGATCCATGTTTCTCAGGGCACTGTGATGGATATCCATAAGTATTGATAGTCTCCTTCTGGGAATTAGATACCTAAATACCTTTGAAATTAACAGATAATTAATAGCAACTCACTTGAGTTGCTTGCCAGAAATAGTATAGGAGGTATGGAGGGGAAAAGGAACTGGGTTTCAGGCTGGCTGCAGGGCTGCCCTTTCATCACTCAAAAGAAGAGGTGCCAATAGTTAAAAAAAAAAAATTGTCTGAAGACGTGTTTTTGATGTTCCCATTCATCCTATTTGTAAACTGGAGTGCCTATGGGATGAATCTGTTAGCCTGGAGCTTTTCTAAATGTTCAACATACGTTTGATAATAATTCATGTCCTGTTTTGGGAAGGCTCTAAGTATTTTTTTGGAAGAGAATGTAGCAGTCTGCCTCATGCCTGCAAGGCCTTAGCTGCCTTTTTTTTTTTTTTTCATAAAGAGGATACATCAGATACACCTACGGCTTAATGCTTTGGAACAGTATTTCTGCTGATTAATCATGGTTGCTAAAGTTTAGTAATAAGAAACTTCATATGACCTTCAAGTATGAATTTCAGGGGGAAAAATGTTTCTGGAATATAAAAGTGCTTGAATTATGTAGTCTGATTTCCTTCTTTAGAGTTCTGTCAAACTACTCTTTGTGTTCATGGAGAAACATTAAAACTAGAATAGCTTTGGTCTTCTGTGTTAAAAAGGCTTTTTTATTGGGCTGTGCAGCTGTAAAGAACTTCTCTTAAGAGAAAATTGATGGCATTTACACGACACAACTTGAATGTCTAATCTTAATTGAGTGATGTGAAAAGCATGTTAATAACTAGGCTGCAGTCTTCTGCAATATTGCTGGAACCTCAAAAGAAAATAACTTGTTAGGGTTTGTTGGAAGCAATACCTGCCTTGCACCGTAATTATAAATGCTCCAAAGTGTATGTTGTGTCCATAAAACTGTGTTGATGATAAGAGTGTCCACTTTATGTCTGTAAATCGAGTAAGAAGGTAAAATGTGTATAGAATCATGGATATGTTTGGGTTGGAAGAGACCTTCAAAGGCCATCCAGTTCCACTCTCTCTGCCACAGCAGGGACACTTTCCACTATCCCAAGTTACTCCAAGCCCTGTCCAGCCTGGCTTTGAATGCTTCCAGGCATCTAGGGACAGCCACAGCTTCTCTGGGCAACCTGTGCCAGGGCCTCACCACCCTTTCAGCCAAGAATTCCTTCCTCATATCCAATCTAACAGTGCCCTCTGGCAGTGGGAAGCCATTCCCCTTGTCCCAAGTCCTTCTTCAGCTCTCTTGGAGCCTGTTTAGACACTGGAAGGAGCTCCAAGGTCTCCATAGAGCATCACCTGGCTGAGCAACATTCTCTACCCATGCTGTGTTTGTGCTTGGGATTGCCCCTACCCAGGTGCAGCACCTTGAACTTGGCCTTGTTGAACTTCATGAGGTTTGCACATTCTCGCCTCTTTTATTTCAGATTTGTCAGGCAGAATTGGTTGATCAGATGAGGTGTGTTTTCATTTACATGGTGGTTGTTGCCTTAAAGTGAATGTAGAATCAGCTTTAGGGGGGAAATGTTGTAAAAGCCAGTGTTTAAATACTTACAGTAAACCTTACCCTTGCAAGACTTATTTCAAAAGCCTGAAATGGACAAAACCATGTGTATTTTTTTATACTCCCAGGCACTTCTTAATGTAGGTGTTAATTTAAAATTTTTCTGACCATGGTATTGAATCCAGCCTGTGTCTTCTAATAAAATGGAATCCATGGTGTAGTGAAGTGCTAGTTTGTGGAATTTCCCTGTGAAATGTTAGCTGTTTTGAGGTGTGACTGACTGCACATTTCACCTTGATTAACTTGCAGGAATGCACAGAAGGCAGCAGGCAGGGTAATAGATGGTATTTTGCAATACATGCTGTTTCCTTAATCTGTGTAAGGGATTATTTTGCTCATTTGCATTCTGATTATGGAATCCAGAATCATACTTACTGCCTGCTTCTGAAATAAAGGAGCTGGAGTTGCTATCAAACTTCTGCAGCCATCTACAGAAAAATGTAACATCAAGTTCTCAGTAAATTCATGAATATGAGTATTTTAACACAGCTCCTCTTTTATGTGTCATAACTATAAAGCTATTATAGTGCTTCAAACCATTTTTTATGAATGCTGAAACACTTTTTCCTCACCCTGTTTGACTGAGAGTAAGGAAAAGTAGAAGGGGAATGCCAGGTGGAAACTAAACTTCTCCAGCAGTTTGCAAACTCTGTGGAATTCTGTTTCCATCTCCTCTTGTATTATATTATTTTCCTGTTGAAAGAAGTTGCTGGGATGAAATTAAGGTGACATCTGCTGTTGAGCTCTTCAGAAGTTTGGGTGAGCCGCTCAGTGCCAAATGTGACTGTTTTCTCTGCCTCCTGTGTCTGTGGTGCATTTATAGCCAGGGTGTTGGGGGGACTACTTGTTTCAAGGCTGCTGTGTTAGCTCTGATCAAAATATATGCTTGATAGAAGCATGAGTATATCTTAACAGGCTACCTGGAAATGTTGAAATTCAGTGTCTGAATTCATGTCTCCTCAACAATGAAGAAAGGGTGTGCCTGATGAGAGTACTGCCATAGTATTTTTAGATGGCTGTTTTGATGTGCACAAATAATGTGGCCTTGAAAAGTCATGTCCTGGCTACTTATTCCTGCTGTCTTTTAATGGCACAAGAAATGGCCATTGACAGCAGCTGGACACGAGCCCAGGTGTGCCCAGGGGGGCAAGAGGCCAGTGGCCCCGGGGCTGTCCCAGCCGTGGTGTGGCAGCAGGGCCAGGGCAGTGCCCTCCCTGTGCTGGCACTGCTGAGGCACCTCCAGTGCTGGGGCAGTTCTGGGCCCTCAGACAAGAGAGACACTGAGGGGCTGGAGCGTGTGCAGGGAAGGGAACGGAGCTGGGGAAGGGTCTGGAGCAGCAGGAGAGGCTGAGGGAGCTGGGAGGGCTCATCCTGGAGAAAAGGAGGCTCAGGGGGGACCTTCTGGCTCTGCAACTCCCTGACAGGAGGGGGGAGCCAGGGGGAAATCGGGCTCTGCTCCCAGGGAACAAGGGACAGGATGAGAGGAAACGGCCTCAAGTTGCATTGGGAGTGGTGATAGTGCTTAGATTGGATATCTGGGAAAATTTCTTCATGGAAACAATTGTCCAGCCCTGGCAGAGGCTGCCCAAGGCAATGATGGAGTCCCCATCCCTGGAGGGATATAAACACTCTGTGGATGTGGCACTTGGGCACATGGGTTAATGGGGGCCTTGGCAGTGCTGGGGAATGGTTGGACTCTGATCTTAGAGGGATTTTCCCACCTTATTGATTCTGTGGTTCTAAGTTCAGTTTTCATCTGACACAATTTGGTGGTCTGTCTTACTCTCAAAACAATTTTCACAATGTTAAGGGGGGGGGGATAGGGACCAAACAGCCAGGGGCACAGGGGAAGTTTTGAGTTTTTTGGTGATTGACTCCATGGTTGAGCCATAGTTGTGTTATAACTTCAGTTGAGATCAGATCTGTGTTAGAACACATGGGTGTAAGCTCTGTGTAGTAAGGATTAGGGAAGGCAAAGTCAAAACACCATAGTTCAATCCTCAAAGTCTTCCACAAGTAACCGAGATCTTTGTGTCACATGTTGCCAGAATGTGATACGAAAAAGACAGGAAGATTTTTGTGACATTTGAAGAATCAATATTGTTGGCTAAACAGTCTGTGTCTATTGTATGATGTATATAGAATGTATACAGTAAGATATAATGTGGCTTTTTAAAAACTCTGCCTTGCTGTGCCATATTTTCAGCAGTGAAACCTGATGTGCCTGTCTCTGTTCATGCCTGCTTTTAACACTCTGTCCAAAATAAAGGGAATTTCACAACAAACTATGCAGAAATTGAGAAATAAAGTAAGGAAGTGCTTGAAATGTGTTGGAAGGCAGGTCACAGTACTGATTCATCTGATTTTTTTGTTGTTGTTGTTTGCTTGTTCCTTGAAGTGAGCCAGTTACTTTGTGTTACAGAATGTGCTTCTGCCTGTGAGTTTAAGGTAATGCTCCATGAGTTGCATTAAAGGTTTGTTAGTATTGTTTCACTGTGGAAACGAGTCTTTGAAGTTATTAACTCAGCCGAACTCAACCTGCATCCTGGACACTTTGTTTCTTCACTTTAAACCAGCCGTGCTCTTTTGTTTTGTCAGGGTGCAGGTAGTACCTAAGGTGCGATGATGGAAAGTAGATGCTTCATCATGCTCCTTGAAAAGGCCTCCTTGGGGCACTCTTGGCTCACCTGTGCTTATCTCTCTCTCCTCTCTAGAATATGGTATCAAGTTTTCGTGTTTCTGAACTGCAAGTGTTGCTGGGGTTTGCTGGACGTAACAAAAGTGGGCGCAAACATGACCTCCTGATGAGGGCTCTGCACTTAGTGAAAAGCGGCTGCAGCCCGGCAGTTCAGATCAAAATCCGAGAACTCTATAGGCGACGGTACCCCAGGACGATCGAGGGACTTTCAGATTTATCGGCAATAAAACCCGCGGCTTTCAACTTGGACAGTAGTTCCTCTCCTGTGGAGCCTGACCTGGCCGTTTCTGGCATTCACACACTCCCTTCCACTTCGGTCACGCCTCAGTCTCCTTCCTCGCCTGTCAGGTCCGTGCTCCTCCAAGACACTAAGTCCCACTTTGAGATGCAGCAGCCGTCCCCTCCAATCCCACCCGTTCATCCTGATGTTCAGCTGAAAAGCTTACCTTTCTACGATGTGCTTGATGTGCTCATAAAACCCACCAGTCTAGGTAAGTGTTTACCACCTCTGCGGATGGCTTAATTCGTGAAATAAGTGTTGCTTCTGACAGTACTGAGCCCAGACCTAAATGGCTTTTTGCTCCTGGGGAGAAGTGGCAACACCCTTCCTTTCTCATCTTTACGCTTGCCCTCTCTGCACCACTTGTCCCCAGAAGTGCAAAGCTACACTTCATGGAAAATAGTGCTCTCTTTTGTAAATGTGATATGATTAAAGACCTTTGTCTTTTGAATATTAAATAATAGAGCCAGGTAGTTTAGTTGGAAGGTACCTACAATGGGCATCCAACTGCCTGACCGAAAGTTGAAGAGTAATATTTAAGGGCATTGTCCAAATGCCTTTTAAACACTGACAGGCTTGGAGCATTGATCACCTCTCCAAAAAGCCTGTTCTGGTGTTTGATCACGCTCCTGATAAATAAATGCTCCCTAATGCCTTGTCTGAACCTCCACTTTTTGGCTGAAAGATTTGGACCTGAAAACTCTGCCTGTTACAGATGAGGAATAGGTCTGGCGGGGTCAATAGGAAAAGGATTTCAGAGTCTCAGTAACTTACAAGTTGCAACAATGTAAAGAGAACAAATTCATTTGTCTATTTTACCCTTATCTCACTGCAACAATTCTGCAGGCTCTGACATCTGTCACTGAAAGAGATACTTTGTGTTGGGATGTTCAGTGTTGAGCTCAGAGTGCTGAAGGTTTCTTAACCTGAAGGTTGTTGCCATACTGGATGTTACAGCGTGGAGTGGACCTTTGTCTTCCAAATAACCTGAAATCCAGTTTGTCTTCCTCAAGTGCCTCAGTCTTCTACGTTTAATTATTTGGAACTACATTTTCTGTCTTGAAATTCAATGTGGCTTACCTTAAAAGGCAAAAAAAGTTCCCTAACTATTTAGTAATAAGCTGTTTGCATCCTATTAAACATTTTATTTTTTGAAACTGATCATAAAGCCTTTTAGTCTGTGACTTATGTTTCAGTGAGGCATATACTGATCATTGGTCATACTCCAGTACCTAAAGCAGAAAACTTTACTAAGAAATGTTATTTACAGTGCCAGTTGTCACTTCTTTGTGTCTGTTGTGACACCCTGTTAGAGGAGGGTTTAATATCTACCTGGGTATTGGTGCAATAGCTATTTTGGTGTTGGACAGCTCTGGCTTGTGCTGTCATTACCCTTGCAGAGATAACCTGTCAGTGCCACAATGTACTGGATGAGCATAGAAATCAGATATGAGGAGTAATTGATATGCAAATAATGGGCCCTTCAGATGTTATAGGGATATGGTAACACTGACTGAGAATCATGCTAATTGAGGACTCATGTGCAAATATGGCATCTTTTATTTAATATTTTTATATTTATGTGGATAGCTTGTATTCCCAGTTAGTAGACCTTGGCAACTGGGACGTGGAACAAACAGTTTTTGGGTGTTTGGGAATTAAGGATTCAAATAACAAGTAGGTCAGAGAGTTCAGTCCACTTCACTGCAACTCTTAAAAGGCATGAGTGTAGGTATTGTTTTGCACTAACATGAGAGCACAAGTGTAGGTGTGTGGTTTTAACCCCCACTTAATTAAACAGCAAAATATTTCTATGGTCTTTTTGACATGTACTCAAGTATTATTTTAAAATATCAAGTGCCTCCTGTGGTGTGTATGTGTATGTGTGCACAGTGTAGCTGTTTGTAACTGTTTGAAGAACTTGATGTGTGTTTGCTCCACCTGGGCTCTATTTCAAGTTTGTCTTCTTTTTTGTGTGTTTTTTCTGGGCATAGAGATATCTGCTCAATACTACAGTGTCCAAGGCAGTCCAGCTCTCACAAGTATGCCTGGTTTAGTTGTGCTGTTTTTGCATATGTCCTCCTTGCTGCTTGTTTTAAATTGGACATGTCTAGTCTTCCTTTATTTCAGGTCAAGATTTTTAAGTTTTCAAGTTGAAGGAAAGTAGAAAAGTAAAACGTGCGTAGTATTGACCTTTAATACTAAAATCTTGCTGCTTCCCATCACTGACAGACAAGCTGGACTCTGATGTGAAAGTTGTAGTTATTTATTTTTTTGCCAGATGCTACTGATGGGTAATTCCAGACACAAAGTCTAGCTGGCTTCTCTGGCACTAGGGGTTGTGGTGTCTCCCTCCCTCCCCAAAGGTTTAGTTACCTTTAGCTGTTTCTGAATTTCCCAGCTGCCCATTGATAACTTCTGGTGCACATTTTCTTCCTGTAGTACCTTACAGAAGTTGTCAGCATCTCTGTGGTCCTCCTTATGTCAGGTATCCAGTGTAATATTCTGTTGTGTGTTTGTTTGAGCCTTCCTCCCTTGGGAGAAAGGATTGTAACACAGTTTGCCAAGCTGCTTTAGTACTGAAGTGTAACATGATGTTAAGCCATCTGAGTGTAGTGGAATGAGTGATTTGTTCTGTTGCTTTCCTTGTGACAGTTACATGCAATTCAGCCACAATTTGAGTACATTCAATGACTTCTGCCTGATTCCAGGAAAAACTCAATTGCAGATCCTGCTATAATCAATGACTTTAATCACTGTGGTTCAACCTCTTTTGTGTCTCTCTTTTTCTAGTACAGAGCAGTATTCAGCGATTCCAAGAGAAGTTTTTTATCTTTGCTTTAACACCTCAGCAAGTCAGAGAAATCTGTATTTCCAGGTAAGAAATGAGTGTGGCATAATGTAAGTACACTTCTGCAAAATTTCAAGAGAAAGTGTGCGGGTTTTTGTTCATTTTGTTCATCATGTGCTCTGTAGATGCAGAGTGATAATCCTCAAGTTATGCTGAGTTTATCTGTTGTGTTTTCTTCAGGAACTACTGTGCATAGAATTTGTGTGCATTTGGGGTAAATCCTACCCCATTAAAGAGTTAACATTGACTGATTTTTAAATAATTGACACTATTTAGAGGGGTGGAAAGCTTCTCTTCCCTGCATGTTTCCTGTCTGCAGGAATGGAAGACTGCTTTTATCGTTTGTCCCAGGGTTCATGTTGTTGCAAGACCTGTTGGTGTAAACCAAAACAATTCATAGGTGCTTTTTCCTCTCTGGCATCATCAAACTTTATGGCTACTATAAACTGTTGATAGAGGATGCCGATACTGAAGTCCTGCATAACTTAGCAGTAGCCAAACGGAAGTGTCACTTGTAAGACTTGTTCATAGATCAATAAAAGAAAAATGAGAGCAAAGTTTAGTGATGCTGGGGCAGGTGTGCCAGTTCTGTCTGTGTATGACTGGGATATGAGTCCTGCTGTCTTAATGAGTACTTCTCTTTTTTTTTCTTCTCTTTGTCATAGGGACTTCTTGCCTGGAGGCAGGAGAGATTACACAGTCCAAGTTCAGCTAAGGTACCTTTTCTGTAATGTTCTCTTAAAACTTCTTAATTGGCTAATGTAACATAAGTGTTTGTGGGGACACTTGAAAATGATGCTTTCTCTTTTTTGTGTACACAGGTTATGCCTAGCAGAGACAAGCTGCCCTCAAGAAGATAATTATCCTAATAGTTTGTGTATTAAAGTAAATGGGAAGCTTTTTCCATTGCCGGTAAGTGTTTGCATCATTTGTGCCTTCTTGGTGGCTTATGGGGGGGAGGTTGCATTCCTCTGTAATGTTGGCTTTCTAAAATAGTCAAGCTATTAGTCAAATAGTCAAATTCTTCTAAGGTTAGGCATGTGGTTTGTACATTTGCTGTATGAGATAGTCCATGTAGTGGCTGTAACATGATTAATAGCAGTAATGGCTAACTGTGTTGTAGCCACCTATGGTGAACCTCATCTGTTGCAGTTAACATAACAGAATATGTCAGGAACAAACCAGTGTCTGCATGGAGAATCCTCCTCATAAGTCCTTAGACTGAGTTTATTTGCGGGTGGTATTTCTTACTGTGTGGGCAATCTGAGTTTGTGATAGGCTTGAGTTCTTCATTGTCACAAGGGAACGGCATCACCTTCTTGTGTGCCACTTGTACATTGCCATGCATCTGTTCTGGGTAGAGCAGAGTTAATTATGGGGATGAACAGGCACTTCTTAGGCTTTCCAGCATTTGCTGATACTGGGACAGAACGGTGTTGGCAGTCACACTTCACTGGTGTCTGATGTTGCGGTACATGGGCAGGGTCACCTGCTTGGATACATGCAGAAAGGGAAAAGCGCACTCATTCTCGAAATATCTCTGGAATAGGTTTCTCTGTTCAAGAGAACAGAGAGAAGCTCTTACACAACCCACTCAGAAATAGTTCTGGAACCTATAGAAGATGGAAAAAGTCATAGTACAGAGGTGTTTTTCAGCAGTGGGTTTGCAAAGATGCTGCTTGGCAGGAGAAAGTGTGAAACTTCTTTTTCAGAATGCTTGTAACCGTCTTGGTGTGTCAGATGTGTTGTCCTGTACCTTCCCTCCTCCCTTATGCAGCCATGACTTTTTTTTTTTTTTTGTGCCTCTATGCAGCTTCAATGAGACTCTTCAGTTTCTCTTCCCCCTACTTATGTCTTCAGGGTATAAGAGGGTTTCTTTTGTATGTTTTCTGGTCAGTACTTTTTGCAAGTGCCACTTACGTTCTCTGCCATGACCTTGAGCATTTTCTCCTTTCTTTGGCAGATTGTCTTAATTTCTTGCAGCAACCAACCAAAAAGAGTTGAGTCTGTTGTTATCTTGTGGACATCAGTGTCTTGTTAATACAGTTTACAGTTTTTATAGGAGTTAATATAGTTTACACCCTGCTGTGCTGTGTTGTACTCTCCATTTTGTGCGTAACTTGTCACAGTCACGGCAGAAACTGTAGCCTTGGATTATTGCTTTGCTTTGGATCTAAATCCTGTAGATTCTTCCTGCATGTCATAAGATGATTCTTTCATCTGTTTAGCAGAACTTTAGGTGAGAAAGTGAAAAAAACCCACTGTTGTCTTGGCAACTTCCTTTCCCCTCCTCCTTCACTATGAGCTGAATGAAAAATACAGTCTCAGTCTGAGTGCTTCTGCAGACATTTTTTAGTTGATCTGGTCACTGTCTGCGTCCTCTCGTGGTTCCTTTCTGTTGCAAGAAGAGTAAGATAACCTCTTTGCCTCAAAGACTGGCATTGTCCACCTCAGTAGTGTTGGTGTTAGGTAAGTAATGATACCAGTCTCTGGTGCCAGCTTGCACAGTTCATAAGTGAGCATTGACCTGTCTTTCTCTGGTATGGCAGTTCTTGCCTCTGCAGGTGTCTGTACGTTATTCTTGGTCATCTCCTTGGCTGCAGTCCTTACCAGAAGCTTCATGGAAATGCTGCCAGTGTGCTAATGCTGGTTCAGGTTGTGCCAGCTCATGTTAACACAGTGTTTCTTTGTACTCCTACATCTGTGTCCTCCTCTTAGTGTTGGATCTGAATTAAAACGAATAAATGTAGAGCTTGCCGTGCTGGTAACAAGGATTTGATACATGTTGCATTACAGCGAGGGCTTCTCCTGTCGAAGTCTCCTGTAGGGAAGTCAAAAGTGACCTCCGTAGGCCACTGCAGGTCCCTTTCAAAGGCCAAAGTCCAGTAGGGCAGGGCAAGTTGGAAATAGCCAGATAGAAGAGCAGTCTTCTTTCTGTTGATAAATTTCCTGGCTGTAGCAGATGATACCTGCTTTGAATAATATGGTTCTTGGAAGAAGCATGGAAGACTTAAGGTCCAAATAATGTTGGCAGTTGCCTGCCACTGGAGTTGGCAGCCTGACTAAACAGGCCATTCTGGTTGTGAAAGGCAAGCAGAGTGCTCTCAGCTCCTGGAGGATAGGAAGGGAAGGCTTCAAATTTGTTGTAGGAATTTTAGGGTGAATCTGTTCTCAAGAAAAACGTCTGTGGAAGAAAACCTCAACAGAAGCTTCACTGAAATGAGTCACGTGCACTGCAGAGTCTGTCTCTAAAAAAAAGAAAAAAATTGGGAAACGTAAGGGAATTTGCATTCTTTTTCTTCTGAAAGCAGGGCAGCTTCACTGTAGGTTGGAGGCAGCAGGGGTGTTTTGGCTGGTATGGTATGGGTGGAAATACCCTCCTAAATATTGCAGGAATGGTGTATTCATCCACATAAGCTCATTAGTAGAGAAAGACCTACTACAGCAAAGCAATAGGGATGTATACTCTGTAAATGGCTGCAGCTGTTTTGTCTGGTTAAAGAAAAGGCAAATCATTCCATCTTTTAAATGTGAAATTGTCAGCGGTCCCCTTGAGTCTGCTGCCTCTGTGTTCTGGGGTAAAGCACACGTGGTGAGGTTCCTGGTCACTCATCTGTGGTGAGCACCACTAAAGGCAGTGATTATCCTATGGTCTGCTGGTCTAGGGGGTGGAAGAGGCTGTTTTTATCTTTTTTTTTTTCTTTTTTTTTTTTTTATTATTACTGTTTTTATTTTTAGACTTACCATATTTCAAAGTGACTCCTTTCCCAAGCACTAGTCTGTGAATGCATGAGTTTCTCTGGGTAAAGAAATACACATTTTTCCAGCATATTCTTTCTGGGAGCATTTCTTGTATAAAACAACACCGTCTTGAACTAAATGAAATCTGTCAGTCAGTTCTGTGCAAGACAAAGCTGCAGTCTCCTGTTGGATCCATGCTTCCCATGGATCTGTTTAAAACAAGTCTGTGTCAGCAGACTTGGTAACACATTAATTGTCCTTTCTTCCCACAGGGATATGCTCCTCCACCAAAAAATGGAATTGAACAGAAGCGACCTGGCCGTCCCTTGAATATCACATCTCTAGTTAGGCTGTCGTCAGCAGTGCCAAACCAGATTTCCATTTCCTGGGCTTCTGAAATTGGAAAGGTAACCTGTGTGTTCTGTAGGGTATGGGAAGTTTGTCTAAATAACCTCTTCTAGCATTCCTGTCCCCCTGCTGCCTGGCAAGGCAAACACCAGCAAGTGTTTGGTGTTAGGTGGCTGAACTCACCATCAGTGCCAGGAAACAAAGTTTGCTCTAAAACTGTGGTAGTTTTCAGTAACACATATATGTAAGATTCACATACAGATGGAAAGACTTCCTTATGGGATTCACATTAGAAAGCTTCCTTTAAGGGTTTGCCTGAAATGCATGTCAAAAATAGCAAATTCTTTTTGTGTAAATAGTAAATCCCCTTGTGGATTTATTACAGAAAGAAAGGGAGAGTGCAAGGAATTTCTGACTTCATCCTAGGTTTAAATAATTGTTGCAACACTCTTTCAGCTCTTGGCAAGTCAAAAACTACTTATTCCTTTATCTCTGACTAGTTGTGTAAATTCTGGATTCAGTTAGCAAAGTAGTTTGCTGCTTAAGTTGTTCTTCAAAATCAAATTCTTTGGACTGAAGTCACCGCATGTTTCAAAGTGAGACTCCAGTATAAGCTTTTATATTAAAATTTTGAAAATAAATTGCAGAGAAAGCTAATGTTCATAAAATAAATGAAGGGCAGTGCTGACATCAAAGGGTGATTTTTCTAAAACAGAAGTGGAGGGAAAGATCTAAGTTGTTGCTTCCCAATCAAAGCACAGAATCTTTAGATGACTCCAGTGCTGTGTGTGGTCTTGGCTCTCCTGCTGACTCCTGCTTTCTTTCCCTCCTGTACTGCCAAAGCAGATGACTTGGAATGCTTGGACATCCTCCCTCTTGCCCTGAGAGGTGAAGCGAGTTCTTTGGTTTAAAGTTGGTGCCAGAACTTGCATAGCAGCCGTTGCTTTTCATCCTCAAAGTGAGACCCTGGGGGACAGCGTGGGGTGTCAGCAGCTCATGTGGTGTTGGCATGGACTGGGTTGATAGTGAAGGGCTGCTGAGTGAAGGGGGTGTAAACCCCTCAGAGCTGGGCAGACTTGAGCCTGTAGCATCCTCTCTGTAGGTAACAGATGGTTGTTCCTTAAAAAAAAAACAACAAAAAAACCCCCCAGAAATCCTTGTTTCTTAGTGGCTTCACATGCAATTAGATCAATTTATATGCTTGTCTAGGTAAGAGCTGGTTTTCCTCTACGTGGTAAAGGAAGAGCAGAGCTGTAGGTGTTGTCTAAAATGCCTGTGCAGTACCCAGGCAGTACAGGAGCCAGAGGGAAGGTGGCCGGCAGAGAGTGGAAATAAAAGGTCATGGATTGTGCTCATTATACAGATGAAACCATTATTATCCTGCAGCAGTGGGGCTTGCAGACTTTTCATTAGTGACCTCAAAGAGGGAGTGAGCACTGAACAAAAGAAGCTGGCAAGTGGTGTGAGTTAGGGAGGAGTAGGAAATGCCAGGGAGCGGGGCCAGGCTCAGCAGAGTGAACACGGTGTAACAAAGCTGGGCTTAGAAGTGCAGAACAAGGTAAAGAAAAGGTACAAAGAAACTGGGGCAGTTCTGTGCCATCTGAAGGTGTACTGTTTGCACCATAAAGACCATATATCTTCTGTCATGTGATCCTTTGAACTCCCCGCTGACACTGGTGAAAAGGGAAGGATTTAGGATACAAATGTAAGGAGTTCCTAAAGACTGTGTGTATGAGATGTGTCATTATCTAATTGATCTTTTCAAGAAAAGAGCCAAGGTTGTCTCTTGGTTGTGGAATTATTTTTCTTAGTTGTCATAACTGGAGTGAGACAGTTGAATTTGATTGGCCAGAGAATTCCGGCACAGCCTTAGTCTTCCACAAAATTGAAGTTGTCTGTCAATGCTTTTAATAACAGTTAAGCAAAAAGTCAGTTTTGTTTTTTTTTTTACTGTATGCTACAACTAGTGTAAATAGTGATCTGTTGACATAGTGGAAGTACTGTATGAAATCAACATTTCACCTTTAATCACTCTCTTTGTAGAGTTACTCCATGTCTGTGTATCTCGTCCGTCAGCTCACTTCAGCTATGCTTTTGCAGAGGTTAAAGCTGAAAGGTATCAGAAACCCTGACCATTCCAGAGCGCTAAGTAAGTCTCATTAACTTGCCTGTCTGTACTTTTGGAGGGTGGTTGGTGTCTCTCTAAAGCTAAACCTGGTAATACAGAAGGGATTTGCAGCATTTTGAGATGAAAGTTCGTGCCCAGGTTGTCACAGGTTCTCTTTGCTGTTGCTGAGGTGTCACACTTTTTTTGAGTGGGGGTCCCCTGTGCTGGTAGGGAGCACACCCAGAGATCCCATCTGAAATGTCCTTATGGGAATGCCATGAGCACCCCTTACTGGACTGTGAGGTGCAGGTAAATATCTTAAAATTCTCTTCACTCGTACCTTACTCATCGATAATTGTTTCATTTCTCTCTTCACATGTTGGGTTGAGTTTGCTCTACTAACCATGTGGCTGTTAGTGCATCTGCAATCAAACAGCATCAGATAATGTTGTGATGCAGTTTGCCAATTGCTGATAAGTAGTGAAGCTGTTGTTTGATATTGCTACGAACTAGTTTCCTAGATGCTTAATTTTTTTAGATGGCTGGAAGAAAGTACATGTACCAGTGAATCAAGATTAGCATTTGAAATAAGGATGTCTGTGTGTAACTTCCTACTTTATTTTAATAGTTAAAGAAAAGCTAACTGCAGATCCTGATAGTGAGATTGCTACAACCAGTCTGCGGGTATCTCTGATGTGTCCTGTAAGTATGGCTGGAAATTTACAGATACAGATTTGTATTTTCATCTGTAGTGCAGAATTGGGCTGCTTTTCAGAAGCCCTGCTTTAGAAACCTCACTGGCTTTATATTTTATATTAATGAGCCAGTATAAAGTAGTGGGGAGAAGGCTGCATCTAAAGCACCTGGCTGTAGCAGCAGTCACCCATCTGTGGTTTAGAACTGTGAATGCCTCAGTTGTGAAGCACCGAGGCAAGTTGCTGCTTGTGCCTGTATAGTGATGTCTGTAGAGGGAGTAACCTTGTATATTGAGGTGTTGAGGCTAATGGGGCAGGCTGGTTTATAATTAAAGGATACAGTAAAAGTAAGTAAAATCCATACCTCCTCGTCTTGATGGCTTTACTGCAGCTACTATAGCAAACAAAAAGTTGATCATCTTGTAACAAGGTATTGCTGCCTTGGGGTTTCTGTTCTCGGGCAGAAATTGGTCATTCTGAGTCTTACTAGTACATGGAGCTCGGGAAAACGCCTGAATTTTTCAGTTAAAAGAAAATTGTGAAAGCAGGTACTGCAGTAGGTAATTTATTAAAAATAGGATCCTAGAAATAACGTGGTTGCAGGTCCATTAGAAATGTTCCTGACTGTTTTCTGCTTTGGGAAGCCTTTGAATGTAGATTAATTGTTCCTTTAGGAGCATTGTACGTCCTGTGGTGGGGTGGATTTGTTGGCAGCACCCTTATCCCAGGGCACCTCTGTAGGAGCAGAGAGAGCTGTTTCACCCAGTGCCTCTGGATTCATTATTAACCATCCAGGCCTGCTTCTGTCTTCAGTTTTGACACTCTTTAAATGCATCTCCTGCAGCTGGGAAAAATGAGACTGACAATCCCCTGCCGGGCTGTGACTTGCACTCACCTGCAATGTTTTGATGCTGCTCTTTATCTTCAAATGAATGAAAAGAAGCCTACCTGGATCTGCCCTGTCTGTGACAAAAAGGCAGCTTATGAGAGCCTAATACTAGATGGGTAAGAGACTGGGTTTGCAGATTACACAGTTACTTAAAAGTTTTCATTATGTACTTGACAACTACTTTCGTCCTTGAGGTTTAGCCATTCCATACTGTTTTTTGTCAAAATGCTTTAGTCTGGGAGGAACTGTTAGACTCTTAATTTCTCCTCTCATGTAAAGAACTATGTGAGTTATCTCCTAACGGCATCATGAGACTCTTGAGCCTCAGTGTATTTCCTCTGGAGAAATCCAAATGTGACATCTAGGGATAGGTCTTCCTTTCACATGTCCCTGTCTCTGAAAGCTGTTAACTTCAAAGTTTAACTCATAAAAAAATTGCCAGACTTGGTTCAAATGGTGATGATTTCTGCTTTTGTATGAAAATCTTTGAATTACAGTAATCTTGGAGTGAAAGAAATATGGATAGGTTGGGATAATCTTTTCTGATATCTGCAAAGGCTGTAATTACAGGCTTTCAGGTAAGCAGGAACTAAGGAGAGAGAAGAGTGGGTGGAAGGTGATCATAATTATCTTTTCTACTGTGTCTCCTTTTCACTTAGAAGAAAAATTTCACTTGGACTCAAAAGGGAAAATTTATTTTTCAGGCTCTTTATGGAAATTCTTAATGAATGTTCAGATGTGGATGAGATCAAATTCCAAGAAGATGGCTCCTGGTGCCCCATGAGGCCAAAGAAAGAAGCTGTGAAAGTCTCAAGTTCTCAATGTACCAAAATAGAAAGTATGTACATCTGGGTACTGATTGCAAACCAGCAAAAAGTCTTGGAGACTTAATTGTAGCTTGGATAATGTATGTGGGTGTTGGTGTTTGTTTTGTGGAGGGCTTAGTACTTCTGACTGTCTTGTAATTTGAACTAAGAAACAAAGAGTGCGCTTTTGGGCTTTGTCTTTCCTCTTTATAATAGCAGTTAAGAAAATGAAAAGGTTGCTTTTGCATCCCTTAACTGATAAGTGAAGACGAAAGTTTGTGCTTTAATATCCTCAGTGGGACACAGAATGGTCACAGAACAGTTACTGGGCTGTAACATTCTCTGTAGTGGCCAGGAAGGTGATCTATAAAGCAGGATCTGAGTTCCTGGTTGTGTTGCAAATAGAAGCTGCTGATGTCACCAGTGCTTTATTTTCTTCTTCAGGTTCCAGTGTTGTTAGCAAACCCTGTCCTGTGACAGTGGCCAGTGAGGTTAACAAGAAGAAAGTTGACGTTATCGACCTGACAACAGAAAGCTCTTCTGATGAAGAGGAAGATCCTCCTGCCAAAAGGAAGTGCATATTCATGTCTGAAATACAAGGGAGCCCAACCAAAGGGTTTGTCAATTTTAAAGTTAGTTGTTATTCTGTAATGTCTCAGATAAACTGATGTGTGGAGAAATGGACTGGGGATCCAGCTCCACACTTCCAGAGGAGAACTTCTAGGCCTCTTCTTGCAGAAGGTTTTATTGATACGGTAACTTTGTGCAGGCAAAACACTGTTAAATAGTTTTACACTTTACAAAAGACTTGCACTGACTGTTGCTGTGTTTGCAGGGATGTTTCTCCATAGAAAAGGAAGCTGACTAATCTAGTGGACAGTGTTCCCATGAGAAAGTAGATTATGCCGTGTGGAGGAGTTTTGTGCATTCTTACTAAGTTAGTGTCATCTTAAAGTGTGATCCTTTATCTTGCTGTTTGTTACACCCTTTATCTAATCTGCTCTGGTGCCCAGGGAGCGAGGCTGTGTGGTGTCTTTCATCCAAGGGAGGCACTTTGCTGTTTTGAATCAAGACAAACTTTTCCTCCGTGTCTCTGATAAGCTCTGGAATGTCTTGAACGCTGTTGTTGGCCGTGGTTATCAGTCAGTCCTGCACCTTGCTTGGCACAGCAAACGACTTCCCAAGTTCTCTGGCAACTGCTCCATCTTTATAGTCAGGCCTGACTTCAGCACCAGGCTTAACTTTACTGCTGTGCCACCTTTTCTCTGTCCTGATCTGTGCACCTCGGCTCAGGTACTGTTTGTGGCTTCCATACTGTTCTTGCTTGTGGCCTGTGGGGCACTGGAGACCTGCAGGGAGCGAGGGGCACTGGTCAGGCTTGCCAGCACTTGCTGCTCCAAGCTCAGCTTTTAGTAATGGCTCATCAGTTAGTGTTGCTGCATGCGTGTCCATGTCTCTCTTATGTCTTGTACTAAAATAGTAGTAAATAACCCCAAACTCCATCTGTTTTGCCAGAAGAAATGAGCAGGTGCTCTGTGTCTCTAGTCCACAAGAATGTGTGTGTGGGCTTAGGTGAACAGAGAGTTGGTCATCTTCAACCACTTTCAGCAGCAATACTGAAATGCTGTTGCTTTTTTGTGAGCACTGTGGAGGAATCCTTCTGCAAGAGACTCTATTTCTTATTTTTACAAGAAAAAATAGCTACAAGTGCATCTCCTAATGAAGTTTCAGAAGGCACCAAGATTTTTTCCATGCTCCTGTGTTTGACATGGCTGCCTGCAACCGTAATTGTAGGAGGACTGAGTTTTTTTGTCTCTCTATGACCCATGTGTTTTCCTTGCTTTTTGGGTATGGATATGGCATTTTCATTTTTCAAATCCAAGTCAAAGCCAGGCTTTTGGGCAACAACTTGTCTCCTGTAAACAGTGTTGTCTGCTGGTTTTGGCAAAACCGTGGGGTGTCTTATAGGCAGGTAGGTGAAGTGTGAGAGGTGCTTATGAAGGGAGGGTCTGAAATCCAAGTTTCTGACACCAGAAGTAGCTTAAAGACAGGAGTCCGGGGAGGAAGACATGAGTGGATAACGCTCATGGCTGGAGGGAGTGATGTGAAGCAGCTGGGTGCAGGATTCTGGGTGTTTCCACCTGACTTGGAGTTTATGAACTACTTTATTCATGTGGCCTGAGCACCCGTGGTGGTGTCTGTTACAGTGTTGTGAAGAGATCGGGCAGCAGGAGGAAAGGCAGTAAGGTTGGAGCTGCTTGTATGCTCCTGGAGAGCTGAACTTAGCTTGGGCTCAGGCTTTGAGTAAGGTGGGCTTATATTTAATTGCCACATGTATAATCTGTACTCCGGGGGCTGGATAATGGTCAGTCATGCCCCTGGCATGACAGATTGGCGTTGAGGAGGAGTTCTGAGGATGAATCAGACTGAGCACTCCTGACTTTGGCCACCTGCACACCCCTCTGAGTGTGCTCACAGACACCCATTTCTGTCTTTGTCACCAATGACTCCAGCACTGTACTTTGTTTTAATGCCAGCTTGCTCTTATGTCACAGCTGCTGTTGAGAGCCAAGATACGGTCATGTTATTATGAAGACTGTTATGAAAGAGGAAATTAGAGTGGATACTTTGTAGTGAGTAGCCACGCTGGAGTTGTGTCGTAACCCAGTGACTTGTGAATGAGAGTGCACAGCAGTGTGTGGTTTCCCTTCTGCAACTAACGGCCAGGTTGTTTGTAATTTCCCATGCTGTCTGAAACAGGGTTCTCATGTACCAGCCATCCACTGCCAGAGTGCCCAGCGTGACGACGGTCGATGCTGTTGCAATTCCTCCTTCATTAACAGAGTACCCAGTACCATTCCATCACCCACCAATATCCAGTATTTCATCGGACTTGCCAGGTAGGTGCTGGATGTTTTTCGTGTGTGTTCTGACAGCATTATTAATTTAAGGGGGCGGGAGGAGGGGGGTAAAAATTGAAAAATTGATTAACACTTTGTTGGTTTTTTTTCTAATGGAACAAGACTATATGCAGTATTGCTCTGATGTGATGTCTAGACAAGCCCAGTACAGGCTGTTTGCCCAGTTTCAGGTTGCATTTTGCAACAGCAGTGTGACAAACGTTGCTTTTGGGGTACAAATTGGCACTTGGGCACAGCAGCCAGAGACTGCTCTCGCTGTGCTCAGTCAGACTTTGTGTAAACATCCTGTGGTTATGCTCTGTAGAAGTGAGGGAGAGTAGTTGCTTGTTTAAGTTAGTAGAGTTGTGAAGGTGCTGACTCATCCCAGCCCTTGGTATAGATACTCTGCTTGCTGATTGTGGTGGTGCTCTGTCTAGACTGTATGAAAAAGGTTAAGGTGAGCTACAATCTGTGAGCTGACCTCTATTGACTTTCTTTACCTAGACATACCCTAAATGCCTATGATGTATTCTTCAACACTGCTGCTAAATATCAGACAAAAGGTGGGGATACTGATTGTTTTCTATCCTGGCTCCTTGAAAAGAACACTTGTATATAGGGACTCTGGGGGTTCTCTTGGCCGGCTGTAACAAACCCAGAGCCCAGGAAGTGGTGACTTGTGGTGACAGGTGTCACTTTGGCCTCCTGTACTTCCCCTCTCCCTGCTCCATTGCCTGTTTCCATGCCTTCCCTGCAACATCTCTGGGTTTTTTCCTCTTCTTTCAGCACCAGTTTGGCAATGAGATGGATATCATTCCCCTTGTTTCTCTGTCCATTTTGGCTCCCTTACTGCTCCCTCCCTCCACTTCTCCCTTGTTATGAAATCAGTTGTTTTCTCAAATTGGTTAGGAGAGTAAGCTGAGAGAATGGAAGTCTAGAACTGTTGTCCATCTGTATCAACAGAAGTTCTAGAATGCGCATGAACAAAAGAAGCTGTCAATTCTGTAAATGCAACTGAACTTTAAATCTCCTTCAAAATTTCTCTCTAATGGAAAAGAGGAGGAGAGATGTCACTGACCAGAACAGATGTGGAGGTGAGGGGAGAGGGAGGGAGTAAGTCGATCATTTCTTTCTGTTGACATAGCAAACACAAGGCCAATATTTAGAAACAAAACAAAAAAATGTGGTAATTTCTCATTGGTTTCATAATTCTAAACATCTTGCCCTAAATGCTTACACGCTAATGGTGTTTAAGATGGACGCTAGTTGTCACTGCTCTTAGAGGATATACTTTGAACTACTTGTAGTTTCCTCTTCTTCGTTCCTTTTATTTGTCTAGACACAAAACGGGGATGATATTAGAAATGTTTCCTTATTGGCTGCCCGTGGGTGGAGGAAGAGACCTGCTGCTTGTTTTTGGACTTGTGCATGTTGTGACTTTACTTCATTCCAGCATCTTTAATGTGATGACACTCTTCATGTCCCAGTTTGGCCAAGTCAGGTACAATATGCAGTGAAACTTGCATTATGAACCAACAGCTCCAAACGGCAACCTCCATCTAAGCAACCACATTGAACCACCCTGCAATATCCAGTGAATAATACATCATTGTCATCCTCATTCTTAAAAAGAGCCACTTGTACTAGATAACTTGTTTTGCTGCTGCCTGAAGTAGTCATTGAGAGTGGTGTCACAGTGGTATATTCCATTTAGAAGCTGTGTATCAATTGCAAAATCTGTTCTACAACCACAAAAAAAAAAAAATTCCTTAAATTTGTTGTATGTGAATAAAAGAGAGACTTATCAATTTATTATCCTTCTCTTCCTCCTAGGTCTGGATTTTCTTTCGCTAATCCCAGTTGATTCACAGGTAAGTTTCTGAACTGCTGTGGCGTTAATTTCCAAGTCTGATTTTTGTGACATTCTGCTCCAGTAATTATCAGGGTGCTGTTGTCATCCAAACCATGTTTGCAGTCCACTTGCTTGGACCTAACCACAGCCCAGGAAAATCCGGTTTCCCAGTGAGAGCCAGTAATGTAGGTGCACTGAGGAGGGTTCAGTTTAGCCTTACTCTGATAAATCCAGGCCTGGAAACTCGCTCCTTACTGGCAGTTTGCTTTTTTAAAGCAAGTACAAGATCAGCACTAACTTGAATACAGCCAGGGTGGTGAGGCCCTGGCACAGAGAAGCTGTGGCTTCCCCATCCGTGGAAGTGTCCAAGGCCAGGTTGGACAGGGCTTGGAGTAACCTGCAATAGTGGAACGTGTCCATGCCCGTGGCAGGGCAGTGGAACAAGATGAGCTTTAAGGTCCCTTTCAACCCAAACCATTCTGGGATTCTTTGAAAAGCAGAAAGGGGAGGATAGTGGGGAAGTGCTTGTGTATGCCATCCCCGCTTGCTTACTCTCTTTGTACAAGTCTGGTTCTTGCTGTGCACACCCTCAGGGTGTTCCACTAGAAACATGTCTGGTGCTTGTTGTAGGGAAGATGTATCTTCAGAGAATACATTTCCCTTGTGCAGTTAGTCTCTTCACTCTTCATTGTTTGTTTCAAGCAGTACTGTCCTCCTATGTTTTTGGATAGTCTCACCTCAACCTTAACAAGCAGCACGCCTGGCAGCATCATCACCTCAGCCAGCCACCAGGAGAGCAGCACGCTCGTTAGCTCCTCGGGCAGGGCCGAGCCCGAGGCCGGGGTGATAACCAGCAGCAGCAGCAGCAGCGCTCCTGACATCATCTCCCTGGACATCATCTCCCTGGACTGACACTCGGGGCAGCACTGGACTCCCGCAGGCATTGCACAGAGCTGCAGCTCCTCCCTCTGGAACTCCAGCGTCATCACCCCGGAGGTCAATCCTGGTGTTTATTTTGAAAGGATTTCCCTTCTGGAAAGGGGGGTAAATTTGTTGATGCCAGGAGACAGAAGCGATAGGTTGGATGGTTGGTTTTGGTTTTTTTGTTTTTTTTTTTTTTCCCCCTGCTCATTAAGTAGCTGGTGTAGAAAAGGCCCTTGGAGAACATGTGTTTATGCTTTTGGTTTGTTCTGGGAGCACTGCCTTTTTCTTGCTAGGTGGATTCCATACATGTTTTCTAATTTGGTTGTAAGAAACAGCAATAATGTAAAAATTAATAAGGTTGTGGTTGTTTTTTTTTTTAATAAATAAAGGAACTTAATCACTCTAGAACAACAACCTGGATAAAGGTGCAGAAGTGTATGAGTTAGTGAATTCTTAATATTTTCACTGGGGCCTGTAATAAACTTCATTAAGACAATGAAGCTTTGAAATAGCCATGATGTGTTGTTTGTCTTGTTCCCCACCTCCCCCTTACCTGGGGATATATAAGAAACCTCTGTAAATGGGATTGTTTGGGGGGGTTTTTTCCTAATTTCATGTCTTTCTCAAATGCAACAAAATCCTAGGCTGTGACTTCTTCCTCTTTTGTGTTCTTTGGGCTGGGAAGGGGACAGACTATCTATGCAAACCCTGCATCACACGGTCTCTGTGCTGCCATGTCGGAATCAGGACACATCCCCACCACAAAAACTCCAACTGTGCAGTTGAGAGTACAGTTGCTTTCTGTGCCAGCTGTAAGGAGATAAAATGGGAATTAGTTTCTCAAGTGCAAATGTATTTGCAAGGATTTCTTGCTCATGGTTTCTGTCACTTCAGTAACTGCTGTATCCCACATGGGAATACTGCACTTAGACTGTGGGGGAGGCTTGGCTTTTTGGAAGGCAGAAGCCATAGCTGCACAATGTCCCCACCTAATTGGAATTATGTGTTTAGGGCTCAATGATGCTTTGTCCCATGTTTCCTGGCCTCCTGATTGTTGCTTTTCTACTTCAAAGGGAACAATTTCCTCCTGTTTTACTCCTCCAAGTGTGCTGCTTTGTTCGTGTGTGTGCAGTGTCTGCCATACACCTGGGGATAACCTCAGCAGTACTGTATGTGGAAGAGGTTACAGACTAGGAAAAACAAGTCATTTCCATAGAGCTGGAATAATGGTATTGTCTATGTATGCTGACATAGCAGCTTTTCCAAGTGGTGTGTTTCTGTTGAATAAATGTATTTGAGATTATTCCTTCCCTAATGTGAAGGTTTCACTTTTTTTCCTAATTTTATGTTCCTCTTTCGTTATTTCTTTAATTGGATGTCTGGTGCTTTTTGCTCTCCATTGCTGTTACAGTGTTGAACGAAGTACATGGATGAGAAATATTGAAGCAGAATGTTTTGTAACTCTTGTCTGCCCTGTACTCCCACCTTTAATGCTGCATTACTGTTCCTTATTGCCTTTTTTGTATGATATTTCACAGCAGTCTTGAGTTCACATGTTGGTCTTAATAGTGCATCTAGTCTTTCTTTCTTCTCCTTATCTGTTTAATTTTTTGTACCTGTTAAGGATCAGTTTTCAGCATGATTTATTTCCTATAAAACCATGCTTCTCAGGAAGTTTTTCCTGATGGCCTGCAGCAGATCAGTGCTTTCTGCATCACCATTGCACAGTGACTTGACCTGTAAGTAGAGTGTGGAGAGGGGCTCCAGAATAAAGCATTTAAAACTGGTCTTTGTTGTTGAAGATGCTTTTATTTGCTCTCCTCAAGACACCAGAGAATTTGTTGGGGTGGGTGGAGAGGGTGGATGGAGGAGGCTGCAACTGAACTGAGGCCTGCACCTCTCAAGCCCTGCTAAGCAGGACTGCAGGACTGTGCTGTAGCTAGATGAGGTTTTGGTTTACTTTTCCTTTGGCAAATTCCCAAATACATTCTTGTCTATCCAAGAACTTCTCACACAAGGAAAATCTTGGAGAAAAAGTTAGATGACACCTTACTACTTTGAGTGAACTGTATCAAACCTTCAGGCCAACTGCAGAAGGAGATAAAGGTGAGATAATTAAAAATGCAGTGAGATAATTAAAGGTGCAGTGAAAGCCTTCCTACACCAACTGGCCTCTTTTTTTTTTTTTTTTTTTTCTTTTTCCCTCACCCATCAGTTAGCTCACTTCCAGGAACTGCAGAAGTTGTAGCAATCTGCTAAAATCCTAGTGACAGAAAGGCTCTACCTTCCTGAAGGCTCTCAGCCTGAACTGGCTTCTGATTTTCATACTCCAGGAGGTTCTGCACCTGTCGAGCAGCAGGAATTTGGGTGTTTCCTGAATGGGAAAACAGTGTGTCCAGTGGGACCAGGGGGCAGTGCCCTCCCTGTGCTGGCACTGCTGAGGCACCTCCAGTGCTGGGGCAGTTCTGGGCCCTCAGACAAGAGAGACACTGAGGGGCTGGAGCGTGTGCAGGGAAGGGAACGGAGCTGGGGAAGGGTCTGGAGCAGCAGGAGGGGCTGAGGGAGCTGGGGGGGCTCATCCTGGAGAAAAGGAGGCTCAGGGGGGACCTTCTGGCTCTGCAACTCCCTGATAGGAGGGGGGAGCCGGGGGGGGATCAGGCTCTGCTGCCAGGGAACAGTGATGGCTGGCCAGGACAGGGTTAATTTTTTGTGCAGCCAGGAGGGGCACAGCCGGGACCCAGAGGTTATTCTGTACCACATCAGGTCCTTACTGCAAGTGGGGGGAAAGGGATTCTCTCCCAGTCAGGGTAGTGCCAGGTTGGGCTCCCCCCAGAGCATTTTGCATGTGAATCTCTTTTGTACCCTTTAGTTATTAGTATTGTTGCTGTTACCATTGGTTTTCTTATGTCATTGCCATTTCCAGTAAATTCTTATCTCAACCTATGATCTTTGTGCCTCCAATTTTCCTCTCCAGCCACCCACAGGGGCCTAAACTAGGACTTGGGACAAGAGGAAAGGGCCTCAAGTTCTGCCAGGGGAGATTTAAATTTGATATTAGGGGAAAATTCTTCACAGAAAGTGTTGTTGGGCATTGGAAGGAGCTGCCCAGGGAGGTGGTGCAGTCCCCATCCCTGGAGGTGTCCAAGGAAGGATTGGACGTGTCACTCAGTGCTCTGGGCTTGGGGACAAGGTGGGGATTGGGCACAGGTTGCACTCAATGACCTTGGAGGTCTTTTCCAACCTAAATGACTCTGTGATTTCAACATTAGTGGGAATTCTCTGTATCTGCTTTAAATCTGGGTGGTGGATGATCGAAAGGTTACTCGGAACTTTCCAGCCTTTTGCCATCAGTCTCCAAGAGCAGGGAGGATTCCAGTTGGGAAATTGAAGAACCCGTTTTCTGGCTGAGAGGGCAAAACCTCAAAAAATTCAACAGGAATTCCTGCAAGAGCAGCGGGAGGGAGATGCTTCCTAGGCTAAAAATGACTGTGGATTAGGTAAACTGTAAAGATCACCATTACTCATAGGTGACTGACTTTTTTAAATGTGGATTTTTGACACAGGTAGGGGTGATCACAAACAAGATACAGGCAACAACAACCACATAAATCGAATTAGAATGTAATTTTTATTTCTTTCATTTAGTGGGTAATCATGCCATCACTACACTCGGTTAACAATGTGTGTGTGTGTTCAATGTGACCCTCTAAAAGCTTTCCATTTCCTTCCTGATTTTGTGAGGAAACAATATCAGGACAAAACTGGGCATGAAACAGAAGTGATTATAACTTCTCTAGGAAGTTACCCACAGGTGGAACACCTCCTGCAAGCCTTTGCTTTTATGTGTTTCAGCCACAAGCTGCCAAGGATAAGAATGCATCACAAGGATCTCCAGGCAAAATCTGCCAGTGATCAAAGACGCACTGGAAAAACCTGCCTGCCAGTGCTGTATCTCAAGTTGGCAGTAAAACCTAGTGGGAAGGAAAAAATTAAAATTAAAAAGGGATGAGCCAGCTACAGGGGAAAAAAATAAAACTGGCTAATTGTGAGTTTCTGCACAGACAAAACCCTAAAACACTATTCCTAACTGCAGTTAGGAAACTACTACTTTGCAGGTTATTCTTTCAAGGAGGTTAGAGGTTAAAGGGAGGCCAACTTCCAGCTGCAGAAAGATCTTGTGTGACCAAGTAAATTGGCAATAAAAAGGCAAACAAAATTCAATTTAGATGGATAGAAAAGTATATGGGGAAAAATATGTTTCGTGTGTCTCAGGAACTGACCTGATAAAACTTAAGATCTGTACTGCTTACCATAACTCCAAGAAGTGTTAGTTTAGTGTTCAGAAGTGAAGTGAGAAGTACCTATTAGGCAGTTCTTGTACCTAGTAAGTGCTTGTACCTGTTAGGAAAGGAACAGGAAACAAAACATTGTGTCCAGTGAAAGCCTGTCCCTTTATTATGTGGTTCCTTTATTATCGAAGGAGTTACTGCAGCGAAGGTTCCAGAAGGGGAACAGAGGTGACCAAAGCCCTGGGCTGGCTTCCACACAAAGAACACACCTGAGCAGCTCGACTCTTCAGCTTGGAAAAGGCAGCAGTGTAGCAGGCAGGACACAGAAGGCTAAAAATCAAGCAACATGTAAAAAAAACCCCAAATACTCAAAACCAGCCGTACAAACACACATATAAATTATTCTTCTAAGATGTTAAATCACCAGTTTATACTTTAAAAGTCAACCATCTCTTATTTCATCACTGATTATTTAAGCAGTTACCACAGTCATGTGCTTTGGCAGAGAAGCACTCTCCAAAATAAAACACATTTTTTATAGTTTTATCATGTGAGGAGTTCCAAATGTGCCCCATGAAGCCAGTAAACTTTATGTCCCACTGTCACAGGCTACCCTTGAAGTGCATTTTTAAATGGGGAGGAGGGAAATGGGTCACACACACTAACCCCAGGGCTCTGTACCACACTGAAAAGCTGAAAGTTTCAGGGGCAGTATAAGAAGGATCACATTATAATTTTCAAGGTAGTCTTAGGATTGGCAGAAGGGTGTAATGCCATAGAAGCTGCTCAGGCTGGCACTCTGTCCTCCCCTTAAAGATTCAGATTGGTACTGAATTTTCTACCCTGCTGCTGCTGGTGACCAATTCTTTCTTCCAAACTTGCTGCAAAGGAAAACCTTTACTTAAAATGATGGAAACCCAGCCTGGTGTGCAAGGAAAAGTCAGAATGTGCAAAAGCTGCTACATTTTTCTGGCACCCTCTGCTGTCACCAAAGCCTAGGGGAGCTGGCTGCCAGGAAAAAGGGAGTAAACTATCTGTTCTGAACTGGAGATGCACAGGCATAACAGGCTGACAAGCACTCTGATAAAAACTGTGCCCAAAAAACCCTGACGCTGGCTTAGACACGTTATCACTAAAGCTGCAAAACTCCCCTGCTTTGTCACAATGGGTCTCACGAAGCCGTCAACGTGAAAAAAATTCTCCATTTTGCTGTTTTGTCCTTACTTGCACAAACCTTTTTCAGCCCTGATGGCCAAGATATTTTTTTAAGCGACTGGTCTGGTAGATTTCCTGCCCATCACCCAGCACTGCAGCCTGGATTTTATTTTTAAAGCAGATTTTAAAATCTTGCAATTGCTTTTAGGGCAGTTAAGACAAACTGGTAAGTGAATAGGTGCACTTGTTGATAAATAAATACTTTCAGGATCGAATATATTTTCCAGGCTTTTCATGGAAGAATTTAATGTACTAAGAAAATCCATTTATTCAAAGGACAGAAGTTAATGTTTAAACAGTTCAAAAAGAGCTTGTTAAAAAAAAAAAATCTTTGCTGCTCTTTGTGATTTTCTAGGATATCCACTGTTTGTTATCCCGATTGTTTACAGTGGCAGAAAGAAAGGAGGGGAGAAAAAACCCCACCCAAATCACAACTTTTCCAATGGTACTGGTAATTCATACAGAACAACAAAAAATGGTGGTGTATTTGTATTTTTGGTAGCCTCTGGTATTCTGGGAATGTGTTTTTTACCCATAGCAGCTTCATCATCAGGTGGCCCCTCACAGAGAAGTTTAAAATTCCTATCAGAATGGGTTCACACACAAGACACAGAAATCTTTGATCTAGTGAAGTGCAGAATATGTTATTCCAGCTAACAGACCATTCAGATTTGCTGTATTCTGCTTCTGTCCCACCTTTGTCACATTGTTCTTACTTCTTGTTTCCAGTCTCCACAGGAGGTATGGACCCACTTTAGAAGAGAGGTATCTTTCCTAGAAGTTAACCTGCTAAATTAAAAGAAGTCTCCCCTTACACCCCTGCAATTAAATGAAGACAAAATAGTATTCTACCCTAAAAACAGGATCCAGAACTAGTTGGCAGAATGTCCTTAGCAACTTCTTTCCATGTGGCCTAGTGGCTGATTTACTGAATTTTCCAGCTGCTGGATCAAAACACCTAAAGGAGATGTTTATTTTTATTCAGTCAGTTTGAACTTGAGGAGTATCCATTTCTCCTGCAAATTTCCACTTAGTTATTTTAAAAAAGAACCCCAACAACTTTGCAAAGTTTCATATTTAAGCCAAGATTAAAATAGCAGAAGGTGGCTAATTTGAATATAGCCATAACTGTTAGAAGTTTGGGGAGGCAAAGGATGGCTTTTTGTTTGTTTAGGTTTTTGAGGTTTTTTACTATAAACACTGGACTTCAACATGCATTTTTCCAGGTTGGACTGGGCTTTGAGCAACCTGATCTACTGGAAGGTGTCTCTGCCATGGCAGGGAGTTGGAAT